GGATATAGACAGAAGGGGAATAAACAGAAATCTAGTTACAACATGGGAAATGTTAATGTCAAAGCTGATACTCTTACATAGCACATGTGCTAGAAGGGGGAGATGATCCAAGTGTGTGTTGGAAAATGTGTGGCATGATTCAGTGCTATGTTGATATTCTTAAACAATTAAACAATCTTGAAAAGCTCTATTCTTGGGCCACTGTTGTGGCCTCGCACAGTAAGCTGCAGCTTGCAGTGCTGCTGTTCCATGCCAGAGCACCAGTTCAAGTCCTGGCTGCTCTCCTGTCCGTCTAAAGCGCCTGGGAAAGCAGCAGATGGCCCAAGAGCTTGGTCTGTCACCCGTGAGGAGATCTGGGTGGAGTTCCAGGCTCCTGGCTTTGGCAGTTTGTAGCCACACTGGGAAAGAGCCAGTGTGGATAGAATCTCTGTTGCTTCCATGTGTGTTCCCTCTCTCCCTCCCTCTCTTTAAAAATAAATAAATCTTAGAATTATATGCTCAATACACCAAGCTGTCCCAAAAAAGATCCCCACAGTCCTATAACCCAGTGAAACTAGTTAGCACTGATGCATCTTTCTAGTCTTCTGTGCGTGGACATTTACAAAAAAAATAAGATTATATCCAATTATTTTTAGCTGTGAAATATTACATGTAATAGTATGTATATGTGTAAGTAATATGCGCCTCTTAAAGACCAATGCTCAAATTCCATTTTGTGCACTTTGATGGACACAGGGAGAGAGCTGTTCTATCTTTCGGGGAGATCTGTCAGTGTGTGCGTTTTCCTCCTGAAGTCCATTTTGTGTGATATTTTAGGCAACTGGTTTTGTTTGTTGTGTATCTTCTTTCGTTTTTACTTTTTAGTTGAAGATTTAGTCATTTTCTTTTAGACAGCATGAGTTGGATTTAATTTTCTATACAGCTTAGGTATTAATACTTTTCTTTTTTAAACAAAGGATTCTGGTTGATCTGAAAAATGAAGTTTGGTATCAAAATGTCATGATCCTATATGTAAAGCAAAACTTCAAAACTGACTGTGAGTTATTAATTTTTACATTTACCATAAAGTAAAAGTTAATGTTTACATAAAAACAGTTTTACTATCTTTCTGATTCAGGTTTGCCATTACCTGCTGAAGTGTGTCTTTTGTTTCTTTTCAAAGAGGTAAGTGCAGTTTTGTATCATTGTCATTACTAAGTCTTGGTATTATAGTATAAATGAACCAGGAGCAGTGTCACTAAGCTTTTTTTTTTTTGACAGGCAGAGTTAGGGAGAGAGAGAAAGGTCTTTCTTCTGTTGGTTCACCCCCCAAATGGCTGCCATGGCCAGCACGCTGCGCCGCGCCAAAGCCAGGTGCTTCCTCCCAGTCTCCCATGCGGTGCAGGGGCTCAAGCACCTGGGCCATCCCCACTGCCTTCCCAGGCCACAGCAGAGAGCTGGAAGAGGAGCAGCCAGACTAGAACCCAGGGTGCCGGCGCCACAGGCAGAGGATTAGCCTAGTGAGCCGTGGCACCGTCCGCCACTAAGCTTTTTAAGTACAATGTTTGTAACACATTGTTTTCACTTGAAGATCCATCTTGGTGATTTTCCTACCTCAGTTATATTTAATGACACATACCTCATTTTTTTTTTTTTTTTTTTTTTTTTTTTTTTGACAGGCAGAGTGGACGTGAGAGAGAGACAGAGAGAGAAAGGTCTTCCTTTTGTTGGTTCATCCCCCAATGGCCTTTGCGGCCGGCGCACCGCGCTGATCCTGGCAGCCAGGAGCCAGGTGCTTTTCCTGGTCTCCCATGGGGTGCAGGCCCAAGCACCTGGGCCATCCTCCACTGCACTCCCTGGCCATAGCAGAGAGCTGGCCTGGAAGAGGGGCAACCGGGACAGAATCCGGCGCCCCAACCGGGACTAGAACCCGGTGTGCCGCGCCGCTAGTGGAGGATTAGCCTATTGAGCCACGGCGCCGGCTTCATACCTCATTCTTTACTGCATAAGATTTAGTACACTTTAACCAGTCCTAGACATTAAAGAGGTTTCTGGTTGTATAAACCAAAATACCCTTCTTTTTCTGGCACAGTGCTTGCAGCAGACATACACAGTGCCCAGTTCTTGTCTGCCTCCTCTGCTTCCTGCAGCCCACATGGGAGACTGGATTGCATTCCAGGTTCTTGGCCTAGCCCTGGCTGTTATGGTTATTTGGGGGGAATGAACTAGTAGATGTGGGATCTTTGTGACTCTGCCTTTCAAATAAAAAAATTGCATATACCCTTTGCTGCCATTTTTTCCCCCAAAGATTTATTTGAAAGTCAGAGTTACACAGAGAGAGGTCTTCCATCTGCTGGTTCACTCCCCAACTGGCTACAACAGCCAGAACTGCGCCAATACGAAGCCAGGAGCTCTTCTGGGTCTCCCACGAGGGTGCAGGGGCCCAAGTACTTGGGCCATCTTCCACTGCTTTCCCAGGCCACAGCAGAGAGCTGGATCTCAAACTGGTGTCCATAGGGGATACTGGCACTGCAGGTAGCAGCTTCACCCACTATGCCAGCAGTTTTAATCGTGGTTTGACAATCCAATAATACCACCAAAATTTCTTTCAAAGATCTTTATTTGCCCAAATAATTTAAAATCTTCCTCATAATATTACAACATTTTTCTGGGCTCATATTTTTAAAACCAGTAAGTATACATAATACTCTGTGGGGCCTTTCCTTTTTAAGGTTATTTGAGAGACTGAAGTCTTCCATCCACTCCCCAAATGGCTGCAACAGCTGCTTCTGGGTCTCCCACGTGGTGCAGGGCCCAGCTGGGACTTGAACCAGTGCCCCTACAGGATGCTGGTGCCCCAGGCGGAGGCTCCACACCTAATTTAAGGAAATTTAACATCACTATTATCTCATGTAAGCCTTAGTGATTAGTCCTTGGCAGTTTGTCTTTAACAGGTACACAGGCCACTTGAACAGGTAAGTCTGTCCTTGCTGTAGCACCTGCTGGGGATGTTGAAACATCTGTGCCACAGAACTGCAGGCAGTTTCAAATGGGGAGTCTAAGGAGTATCTGAGCCAACTCCAGAAACAGTTAATATTCTCATTCCTATCGAACTGGTCTTAAGGTCTTAATATGTGGTGATTTCATTATATATTCAGTCTATGTAGAATTACAACTAGATTTTTTTTTTAAAGGAAGAAGAATTTACAACAGACGAAACTAGGAACAATGAAACCACGAGCCCTCATAAACCGTCCCCTGGTGCATCCTCTGACCCTGGCTGGGACAATGGCTTGGATGATGCTTGCTTTTTAGAAGCCACTGAAGATGCTGAATTAGCAGGCTGCAGAGAGCAGTCTTCTGCGTCACAGTAGTGGAGTGGATGAGATTCCTGATGACCTCATTATGGAAGTATTACAAGAGTAGCCAACTGTGGACATCACATAAGCAGCCTGTAATCTGCGAGATTTGTAACAAAAAATTATATTCAGTCTGTCAAATGTTACTTGGAAAATAATGTAAGTAAATCAATTTTATTGGAAATTAACTGTATTTAGTCTATGTTCACATTGTCTTAATTTTACAGGTTAAAACATACATGTTTGGGCTGATTCAGATAGGGTTTCAACATTTTTAAATTACTCAAGACATTATCCTAAAAGGATCATGGCCTCTAAAACTATTAATCAGTACTAAATCCTGGGGACTGGACCCTACTTGTTTTCAGAGGCCGCAGGGGACTAAGTTGGCACATTTCAGTACGGCTGTCTCCTCAGTCCTGGTCAAGGAGATTCTCTAATTGGTGGTTGATATTTTGCAAATGATTTTCAGCTCCCAAAAAGGTTCTTGCTTTAAATAACAGAGCTGGAAGGCTGGATGAATCATACTGTTGAAAGAAAATAATTCAGATTAGCTAATATCAAAAACTCTTACAATCCTGTCTTTACATAGTTCAATCTGAAACCAATGGAAAAGATCTAACTTGTCAACTCCTCTTCCTTTCACTTTTACAATTGGTTTTAATTCATTTCCTTAGGATAGAATTCGTAGAACGTTGCAAAGGAGTGGCTCTGTACATCTGAGTGCCTGGGGCAGGTCAAGACTTGGTTTGAGCAAGTCTGTCATCTCATGTCTATTTTAAAACACACAACAAAAAACATTAGGCAGGTTTACTTTTACTGGAAGAACCAAAGGATGAGAACACCCAGCTTATAATAGCTCATAAGGGAAAAAAAGCTCTAAATCCACTCTAAGAAAACTTTAATCATGGAACTGATCCTTCCAATAAGACAAAATTACTATGCAAGTCGAACAAAATCAACTCATGAGTTTAAACTAGTAAGCCAACCCAAAATTGATTAAATTCCTCTTTAGTTTTCTGACTACCTAGAAAACAGTGGATTTTTTTCCTGGCATACAATTTACCATATGTTGAGAGAATTCAAGAGCCTAATTAAGACACTAAGCACCTGCTCTCAGGGAGTGGAGGGAGGAGAACTTGCTTGGTGCTACAGGTTTAGTTTAGGAAAAGAGTGAGGCCGAGAACACAGCTGGGAGTGGTATGGTCTAAAGGTACAGTCGCTGAATTTGTTTTAATGAAAGTGGTTGCTATTTTTCTAAATTTAATAACCAAGTCCACTTAAGCTTTAGACTAGTTAGGTACTTTGGGCTCAGGAAAACTGCATCAGTGTCAAAATTTAAAGCTGAATTTAGAAAACAAATCTGGTAACATTTTATGTAAATTTAATGGCACTAGTATATTAAAAAGTCCAGAAATGGGGGCCACTGCTGTGGCCTAACAGCATCCCATATGAGCACCAGTTCATGTCCCGGCTGCTCCCTGCTGATGGCCTGGGAAAAGCAGTGGGAGACCCACGTGAAGGTCCTGGCCCAGCACTGGCTGTTGCAGCCGTCTGGGGGCGTGAACCACTAGAGGGAAGATCTGTCTCTCCTCTACCTGTGACTTTCAAATAAAAAATTTTGTAGTTACTTTTTTTATTAATCCAATAATATTGCTTTTTCTTGCCATTTATAGATAATGGCTTTTTAGATACATGTACCAAGAACATGAGCTAGACATAAAAAATGTGGTTGTGCAAAGCCTACTCTTCCCTTATTGAACTCAGTGAGCCCGGGTTTTCCTGTACTGCTGCAGCTCCCCTCCTGAGGCAGAGTCGAAAGTAAAAAAAACTCCAAGTTACCGTTTCCTTTGTGTCTGGTTCTTTCTCTTGAAGATCTGAGTACTCGTGATAGAGCTGTTTTAAATTAGATAGGAAATCTGCTGCCGTCCTCAGGGATGACTTTCTCTCCTTAAGTTCGTCGTATTTTGTTTGTAGCTGTATCAGCTGGGGCTCTAACCTAGCGAAAAGAAGTACACCGGTGAAGGATGGAACACCAGGGTGGTGGCTGCTCCGTCTACCTTCAGCTCTGACAGCAGGAATGCATGAAAGGCTCCGGGTTTCAATTTGAAATGTAGGAGAAAGGCAGCTTTCAGCCTCGCAGATGAGCCGCTGGGGCCAGCTGCGTCAGCTCTCAGAGAGAACTTGGATCTTATAGACAAAGGGAATAGAAAAGGAGTTTTATTTTGTTAAATAAAAAAATGCTAACTAAACTCTTGTCTACTATGATGTCACAACATAAGTCCTGTAAGCTGTCCTTTACAGTGGACAAGTGCAGCGTTTTGTTAGACTCACTACTGAGCAGAATTGGGGTCTGACAGCGAATCCTAGCTCCCCTTCTGTGGGGTTTGACTGTTGGTATGTTACCTCTCCGTGCCTAGTTTTCCCAACGTAAAGTTAAAACAATAATATACCTCTCCAGTAGAAAAGGAACTAAAGAAGTGTGTTTTTAAAATATGTAATGAAGCCTTATCACCAGAGATAATAACCTCCCTCAGTGATGACAGGGACGATCAATGGGTGAAATCAGGAAAGCGCCCCGCACCCAGGGGACTGCTAGATGTAGGCTGTCGTATTACCTTGGCTGTTCTTAGCTGTAGCCTGGGCCAGCACCTGTCTGTAGTCTAAATTTGGAAACCAAAGGACTAGACAACCAATTCTCCCTCTTCAACTCCTGCGACAGTACTTTGTGCTTCACTGTCTTTTCTACCGGCCTTTCTCAGCTGTCGTACACCTTCAGAGCAGACAGCCTCCCTGGTACTGCTTTACTATCACACTCCCAGCTCACGCAACAGTACAGAAGAGCAGGAAGAAACACTTGCAGGCTGCTGTGGGCTCCAGTCTTTGCAACCAGACCCCGGCTGGCCAGTTCTGGGACCGTCTGGTCCAGCCTCTGGGAATGTGGATTCACATGAGTGCCACCCACGGTGTTTGTGTTTCACCAACACAACTGCCAACATTTATACAGCAAACCATGTGCCATCCCCATGAAGCACTTCTCACAACACCCGGGTCTGTTAGATAGCATTACGCCTTTATACTAAAGAGGGAACGGAGTTATTAACAGGTTAAGTGACTTGGTAAAGTTGCACGGGCAGTGAGGGGCCGAGCCTGGATTCAAAGCCAGGCAGTCTAACTGCATTAATTTATGCATGAATTTAATTGGGGTGCCTCTCAGGCCACAGCTGAGAGAAGTCGGGACATCAGTGGCAAATCCTCCCTTGCTAATGGGGGCTACAGCGACGTAGCATAACCTGCCCTCACTGAGCATCCAAATTCAAAGATAACCTGGAGTTTTCGTATGGCACAGCAGCAAGTATTAACGCCTCCCGATGACGTAGCACACTTGGGTTCCTTGAGGTATGTTCTGTCACAGGACTGTTGCTATCTTACCGAAGCAGTTCATCCTGGACTTCAACCAAACGCTGCCTTTTCTTCTTGATATCTGCAATCACCTAAGTAAGAGTAATTTCTTTGTTAATTTTGTGATGTGTACCGCCAGGAAAAGAGGGAACCTTGGAATAGTGTGGGTGGGGGATCTACTTCAGGATGATCTGGAGAAGGTGAGGGGCTAGATCCTCAGTAGATCCCATGAGCTAGACAGATGTGATCTTGCAGGACAGTGTTGTGATCTGTTTTGTATTTTTTTTTTTTTTTGACAGGCAGAGTGGACAGTGAGAGAGAGAGACAGAGAGAAAGGTCTTCCTTTGCTGTTGGTTCACCCTCCAATGGCCGCTGCGGCCGGCACCACGCTGATCCGAGGAGCCAGGTGCTTCTGGTCTCCCATGGGGTGCAGGGCCCAAGGGCTTGGGCCATCCTCCACTGCACTCCCGGCCTGCAGAAGAGGGCAACCGGGACAGAATCCAGCATGCCGGCGCCGCAAGGCGGAGGACTAGCCTAGTGAGCCGTGGCGCCCTCTGTTTTGTATTTTTAAAACTATTTCAATAAGTTTTCTTATCTCAGAGGTCTCATTAGTCACTACCTAATACTCTGCTGTTGGACATCCATAAACAATGTAGAAATGACCAAAATGAGATTACAGTTGAAAGAAAAAAAGATGTGTAATTGCCAGAAGACAAATGTATATTTCTCAAGGTCATTTCTGTTACCAATGCAGAGGAACAGTGACTTTGCACTCCTGGATTCGTGGAAGTTTGGTGGTGGAACCTCTGAGGTCATTCGGTCCATTCATTCACAAACAAGCAAAGGGGAATCCCGTGTTCACTGGCTTGTTTCCCACTGCTGCCTACTGAGGGGGCAGAGCCAGGACTACAGGTGAGGTCTTAGGACTCCTAACCTGGTGTTCTTCCCGGCTGCCCTTTTGCCTTAGACAGTGCTCTAAAAGGTTTTGCTTTTTGACACCCACAAAGCAATAAATGTACATTACTCAACATGTACCCATATAAGGGACCATTTTGGACGTTGATAGCCATTTTTAGACCAACTGAGACATCTTTCAAAAAGATTTAATAGCACTTCCTTGAACATCAACCAAATAAGAGTCTAAAAAGATAAAAATTCTTACACAAAATTCTAAAGGCAGCAAACCCCAAAGTCAGGTCCTAACCACCTGTGTTAGTATCGTGTAGTCACATCACCCTAATTGCTGACGTCACTTACCTTAGCGTTCTTCCTTTTCAGGTTTTTCAACATCTGGGCTTCTTTAAGCTGTATGAAACGAAAGATAATTCCTGTGCATTTCCCAAGATTAATCATTTTGACATAGGTTACATTTAATTTAAAAATAGCATGTAAAATATGAGTAGTGCTAATGACTTTATTACCATATTGCCAGAAAATGCAAGCTTTTCTATGCTAACAGCATACTGCCTCAGGATAAGCTGAAAAACCTTAGGCCAAGAAATTTGTCAGTGAGCTTACCATTTTGATGAGTTCTTCTTTAATATTACAATGAAATTTATTGATGGCTTCTTTACAAATTTT